GCGCCTGTTTGGAGACACACGCACAAAGGAGATGAATCGCAGCTTGTGCTTGATCAATGAGAGCAAGCACGGAGGAGAGCGTTTCAGAAGCATGCCCATAATACCATGGCTTCACAGTGCTAATATTCTGCTGACCAATTTCATCACACTCTTAGCCACCTGCAGAAACTAAGGCAGTTAATTATATCATGCTCCCAACATCGCATCAGAAACTGAGAGATGAAGTCACGTAAAGATCACTTCTGCATTTTCTAGAAAATCTTTTTTGAAGACCATTCCCTTGCAAATGAAGAGTACCTTTTAGAATACAGAGCAACAAGAGAGTTTATCTCAATTAATTACTATATTCTATTTCTTAAAAAAGAGAATTATGTAAATAATTTCTATTACCTCTTTTGCTTTTCACTTCCAGAAAATTCAATGCTAAATTTAAGGCTTAATAAAAGCAATGCTCTTATTAGATGGCTAATACATTTATACCTCTCTTTTTAGTTTGGTTGCCTTTAAAATTTTTTTCTTTTAAATAATTTCCTCACTGTACACACATTTTTTTCATTTTAAGTTGCATCAAATACTTGAAAAGAAGTTATCATATTTTTAATCTAGATATTCTTATTTTTTATGCATTTGACTATGTATTTTTTTGAGTGAGGTCTTATCCATTTATGACACATTGTTTTCACTATATACTTAACTACCAATTATATAAATATATTATGTGAAGGACTGAATTATATATAATAAGCCTTGTACTTGGCATACTTGAAATGGTGATATGTTATATCACAGGGTGTATACTGCACTGTAGCATGTCTATCTTACTTGCTTTTCCAAGCAAATGTCATATCTTATGGAGTCTAGAGATATTTTGTTAACTCCACTGGGTTTCCCAGTAGTGAAAGTTGATTGGAAAAATTCCTCTTAAGAAAGGCTGAGGCCGGGCACGGTGGCTCACGCCTGTAATCCTAGCACTCTGGGAGGCCGAGGAGGGTGGATCACTGAGGTCAGGAGTTCAAAACCAGCCTGAGCAAGAGTGAGACCCCATCTCTACTATAAATAGAAAGAAATTAATTGGCCAACTAATATATATAGAAAAAATTAGCCGGGCATGGTGGTGCATGCCTGTAGTCTCAGCTACTTGGGAGGTTGAGGCAGGAGGATTGCTTGAGCCCAGGAGTTTGAGGTTGCTGTGAGCTAGGCTGACTCCACAGCACTCACTCTAGCCTGGGCAACAGAGTGAGACTTGTCTCAAAAACAAAAAAAATAAAAAAGAAAGACAGTGAAACAAAAATTTCCATAAATAGAATTACTTGGGTGTTAGGTTGACTCAGTGGCATTACACTAGCAGGAAACAGAACAGTTGTAGCAGCCTTTAGCTTGAGGTTGAATACACTGATTGGCTTTAGGGTATTAATTTTGGATTGATGCCATTAGATAGGGTGTTGAAGGGTTCATGGAGGACCCAGAACTCAAATATCTTCTGATTTAGCAAGACAAATGCATATCAGTTCAATCATAATAATAGTTGAATTTAATAAAGTCTAAAAATGAAAAAATATGATTATTAAACAAGCATTGTTACATATAAAAATCAGAACAAATGGTTTCTGTCACAAACTATCTGCAAATAGGAAGCAGTTCTCAATTAGATGAGATCATCCTGCTAATGCATAATAAATTTAATTCTGATTTATCTGTGAATATCTCTCAAATTTCTTCAGTTGTGATGAAACCTATGTCACTAATTTAAAATTATGCTTGAGATAGGCAACTCAGAAAAGTTTCTTAATCTGATGCTTAAAAACGAGCATCTGAGAAAAGCTTCTCAATGGTTAACCTAAATATAGCCATCGTTAAACTGGAACAATTTTAAAACCCCCAAAGCCCCTAAAAAATCCCTCGAGTAATTTAAAAACCCACTAAAGAAATGTTGAAACCCTTAAATTTTAAAACGCTTGAACTAGAACCACATAAAAATCCCACCCACTTGGGATACAGAAATCTGCAAAATAAAACATCGCTCCCACTTTAACAGTGAGAAAATGCTGAACTATAAAATCGTAACTTCTCTTGAATCTACCGGGGGTGCTGAGGTTGTGGATGCTCAGGTGACCTCATTGCCGAAGGACAAGCCCCTTCCAGGAGAGACAGGTGTGGGGTCCATGTGGTCGAGCTCAGGTGAGAGTGACCAGGTCAGAATCAACCGGCTCCATCTGAGTGAACGGCCACAGGGACCAGACGGACAGGAGTGTGTCCTTCCTCCCACAGCCTCTAGCAGGTGGCCAGGAGAAATGTTGGGGACACAGCAAGAGCCTGGGGGGAGTCCCCCACCCCCAGTGCCAGGGATCTGGAGAAAGAGGGGCACGAGACCACACATGCACACATGTCCCTGAACCTTCACTCTCGGGTCACACATGCCTTAGACCACCGTGGGAGGAGCAGCAAACCCTGCCACTTCTGGGACCAGGCAAAGACGCAGTGCGGCTTGGAGAGGAAAAGCATCCTGCATCTCTGGGAACAGGGCAGGAGGGTGGCAGGGGCTTAGGATTCTTTGCCAATTCCAAGACTGGGTCTCCTGGCACCAGGCACAGGCAGGAAATTCCCTCCCAAGGCCAACCACAGGTAGGATTTCACCCCCTCGGTAGGAAGGACAGAGATGCTGAGAAAACCCACCCTCTGTGCAACGCAATGGTCTGACTCAGGCTGCAGAAGATCAACCGAACCAGCCCCTGCGTCCCGTGGGGGGCTCAGCACAGAGAAATGGGCGACAGCCATCTGCCACAGGGGAGCAGTGTGGATGGAGACTGGCTGCGTTAGAAAGGGGCTGGGGACAGCTGAACGCTGAAGGCGAGGCTCTTCTAACTCCAGCCCTTGCGAAGCTCATGCCGGCGGCCGCTCAGCACTGGAAGATTCGGCAGCCTGAGATGTGACCTCCCGCCAGACCCTCCTCTTCCCGCCAGACCCACCAACGACTTAAACACCAAGCTTAGAAATGGCTACTGCCATTTTGACGCCTCGCAGCGAGCTCCCCACTGAATATATTCAGGTTAGATTCTCTCATTTCCAGGACAAACCAATATTAATGCTGTTTACACATCTGTGATCTGAGATTTCTGAATCTTTGTTTTGTTTTGGTTCCTTTTGGGAAAAAAGAGCCCAGTGCAAATGGTGTTAACATCAAAAAAACAAACAAACAAACAAACAAACAAACAAACAAAACCACACACTCGAAAATAATAAGTGGAAATGAGTATGATGTTTGGCCATATAAAAAATAAATACATTAAGTAATTATACAAGGGCTTGGATTCTCGAAGAAGGTTTGTTTCAAAGAGAAATATGTGACTCTCTTTTAATGAATTGTGTTGACTGGGAGTAAAGTGGAATGTAGATAATTATATTGATGGAGCTGTAGCTCGTGTGAGTGGAGGGGTCATTGTGGACCATAATAATTGTAGACTAATTATTTTGCTAGCATCTCTTTCCGTGAAAAGTGAATGAAAAGCCAGAAAATCTATAAGACCAGTTTGAGAGGGTAAGAACATTCATCAACACTAACTAGCACCGCTAAAAAGCCATCAGTGAACTTATTAAGAGTATCATAAATAAGGTTTATATTTTCCTGTCTACAGATGCTCACAAAATGCATCAAAGAAGCAGATTTCTCCCATTCATACCTTACACAAATAACACCCACAGTATAATTCTACACTGTCACTAAAGAAGTTCTACTCATATAAATTGGAATAAATGTGCATACAAATGCCGGTAATGAGTAGGGAAATTTAACCAGAATGTGGAACAGCCCTGCGGTTTGTATCCGGTCCGGAATATTCATCATCACCTGGAAATCTGGCCTTTCAAAGGCATTCGCCCGTTATGTCCCAGCAAACTGTTTATCTCAATTCAGAAGATCACCTATTAAAGCGCATCCGTGTATTGGCTTATTTGCAACTGCTTATTAAAGGAGATGAATATCGACATTAAGCATTTTTTAGTGCTTGAAAACATGCTCTAAAATAAACCCTACTCTCATTGGAAATTCTTATTTCGCTTTTGCAAGGTTTGCCTGCGTAATCAAGTGACGAAAAGGATTTGTGAACTTGACCTTTGTCATCCATTCATCAGGCTATTAACTCAGTCTCACATCCATTTTTAAAAGGTTAGCGTCTCCTGGGCGCCGCCGCCCTCCAATTAAAATGAATAGTGCACAGACGCAGGCGCCGAGTGGCTGCTCTTTGCTAGTTCTTATTTTAACAGCCTTTAAGACTTGCGAGAGGAAAGGCTCATCGCCATGATCTATTTGGAAGTTATGGTTTCCTGTGTTGTTGGATGCTAATACGAATGTTTTTCATCACTCGCAAGAAAACCAGTCACATTACAAATGGGTAGTTTTTGTGCTTTTTAATACAAACAACCTGAAATGATAGCAGTTGTTTTATCTAATTATCCCAGATGCTAAACTTTCTACACTTCTTTTGTAATAGATATTTCACAGGGCTAGGCTTATAAGACCGGATTTCACGCAAATCGTAGACATGGTTTTAGAACAGACAATATTTTACTATCTAAGAAGATCATGCATTTTTATGTTTCCTTTAACCACTTCGGGACCAGCGTCGACTACAATCGACAGCCACAGATGAACGCGCACTGTGACTTTAGCCAATGGCCGTGATATGACTTTTCTAATTTTTCATTTATCAAAATAACATTGTGAACATTTAAAAATAACGTAATGAAAACATGTATGTATATGTTACCTATTTGATTTACATGACAAGTGAAGCAGCCTGTAGAGTCAAACAAGCGTTCAGGGCCTTCAAGCCTTCCTCACCACGCAGGAGCAGACGGACCGCCGTCAGTGCCCAGCGCAGACTGCCGTGGGGCTGCGGGCCGCTGCGGGCGAGGCTTCGCGGCCGGTGAGCGCGGTCCCGAAGTGGTTAAGAAAATGGCTCAATATAACAATGAGAGCCAGATGCAAAAACAGACGACCTTACTTTTGTATTCCAGGTGGAACCCGGCCGCCGCCACGCTGATGTCGGACTGGAAGTGCAGGTACAGCTGGTTGGAGGTGCTGTTCAGCAGGGCCGGCACCGTGGTCCCTGTGGGAGACAATGCGGACGGAGCATTAGCTCTGCAAACTCACTCAATTTTCTAGATATTAAATATACAGGGATATTTCTTTAGGCTCACAAACTCCTCTAGATTGATCCCCATGTGTTTAATCTGAGTGTTGATTTTGAGCATGACACAGTCAGCTGTCCTGTTTTTCGAGATGCAATAAAAACATCCACGTGCTTTCCCCTGATGTCCTCAAGCAGATGTGACACGCATCTGGCACACTGTCCATGGTGCAAAAACTCTGATGTTTTGCCAAGCGTGTGGCTCTTGCATTGCCGCAGCAATGCGATCTTCCACTTTAAATTTTATGTGTTTATTTATTTTTTTTTTTATTTTACCCAACATGAACAAAGAAGAGACAAAATTTCAACACCCCAAGTCTCAGGAGAGACGGGTAGGTGCGGCTCTGACGTGTGCCTCGCAAGATGTTGGTCTGGACGATGTGTCCGTCCCTTTTCCATTCCCTAAGCAGCTCCTACTGAATACTGTTCCCCAGAGATCTGTGAATGATTTCAACTAAATGTGCTTGAAAAGGAAAATATAGGTTTATTTTTATGACGCTGCTTCCTTCGCTTAAAACGTCCCAGCAGCCTGCATCGGAGTAACGGACACATCAGAAAAGGAAATGTGGACACCGAGGAAAAGGGTCACAGACAAGGGGTGGCGCTGGCAGGTGCTGAGAAAGAGAAATGTGTTCTTCACTCCCAAGGGTAAGATCCAAGAATGGAAAAACAGCACCACGTGTACGCACCAGCAAACTGGCATTAACTGATCAACACCTAAGCGGACATATAGGATTAGCATTTATCGGGTGTCGGGGGGGAGGATGGGTGTATACATACATAGTGAGAGCGATGTGCACCAACCGGGGGATGGTCACCCCTGGAGCTGTGACTCGAGGGGGGAGGGGTGGCAAGGGCAATATGTGTAATCTTAACATTTGTACCCCATAATATGCTGGAAAAATAAAAAAATAAAATAATAATAAAAAACAAGTGTAAGACCCTGTGGTAGGACACATCAAAATACAGAAAAATAACAGACGCATCTAAATAACTTTTTTCGCTAAAGCGTGCATGCTCAGTACTCCACCAGACGGAAGCCGCTCTCTCGTCAGGCTGCGCAGGCCATGCCGAGCAGCGCCCACCGTGGGGAACTCGCCGCGGCGCAGGCAGCTCAGCAGCGTGAGCTCAGCTGAAGACAGGACGAGTGGGTGAAGAGAGAAACTTGTCTTAAATGACAAAGCCAGGGGATGAGTACTGGTGAAAAGATAAGGCCCTCTGTCATCACCCGCCACTCTCGGCTTAAATGATCCCAATGTCCTCTGAAACTAATGGCTCCGGGTGAGGACGGCGGCCGTGTCTGTGCACACGGACGCGGGCGCGCATGGCGTGCGCAGACGCGGGCAAACCTGAACTCCTGTTCTGTCCCTGCAACATCTACCCAGCCTCCCTGTTCCCGGTCTTCAATCACAGCACCACCAGCGGCCTCGCACGCCCTCTGCCGGGGCTTCCCTCCTCCCTCTATCACTCCAAGCAGTCCGCAGGCCCTGAGGAGCCCAGACCTTTCCCCAAACCGGTTTCCCTCACTTCATCTCACCGTCTTCCAGCCGTCAGCTCAGGGCCACCAGCAGTGCCCCGTCACCAGGGGTAGTGCCATCGTCTACCTGGTTTCCTGACTCTGCTCTTGCCCTAATCCAATTCACTATTCAGCAGTTGCAAAACTCTTTTAAATACTTAACCATTATGTCATGTTAAAATTCTCGCAGATTCTGGATCATCTTAGGGCCACATTTCAGTCTCCTTGATTTGGGCCTTAAGACCCTGCCTGATCTGACCATTGCCTGCATTTCTAGTTTCGTCTCATTACTTTGTTTTCATAATTTATTTTTTCTTGTTTCAAGGTGCTCCCCCTAATCATAGGCCTGGGATGCTGCTTCCCTCTGCCCTGCTCTATTTTGCTTTTCTAATTCCCACTTGTTCAAATGTTTCTACTCATTTCCCAAACTAAGCCGCTCACTTATTCATTTAACAGATATGTGTTTATCAGCCAGGTAGAACCCATTAACCACCTCGCCAAACACACCAATTATCTTCAGACTTGATACAAAGGAGAACTTTCCCTGATTGGGAAAGAGACTCGAACTTCATTAAGTCCTAAGAGCAACAAGCGACTGAGCTTGCCACTCAAAATGCGGAGCTGCGGCAGGTGTAATTACTCTTCCACTCGGCTACCACCGCCTTCATCTCGCGCCTGGACTGATGAGACAGCCGCCAGCTCAGCAGCAAGGCGGTGCCTGGCCTTCTCCACGTGCATCCATTCTGCACACAAAACTCTCTTTTCACAGATGGAGAACGCTTGCGAATTTCATTTCTAGATGTGGGCGTAAAAACACCTTGTAATACATTTCTAAATCGACTTCATTTGGCTTTGAGGACTCATCCTGGGGAGTGGGGAGAATTTAATCCGCACCATTGTCAGGAATCCCTCCTCTCTTCAGGACCGCCACTGGCCCCGAACTCTGGGGTCCTCAGCTCTTTGCTGCATGTGTGCCCACTCCCCAAGCCCACGCAGACCCTCGAACTCTAGTGGCTCCAAGGCTTGGCGCACACCTCTGAGAGCTCCCTGGTCCTGAATCTAGCCTTTCTGAGTGAATCCAGGTACCATTTTCTTTCCAAGGTCCTGTCGCTTCCTGTGGTGCTGCAAGGAATTCAATTATACCCTAATTTCCTGGAGGAGACCCAGGCCCGGGAAGCTCCCCAACCTTCCTTCTCGTCAGTCACTCCAGCCCTCTAACATGAAGCCTTCGTCACCACCCTCTCTGCTCTCAATAGCTGAGCCTTTTGAATGACTAAAGCTGGGAGGGGGTTAACCCCGGGTACAGACACCTGCTGCTTTTAGACCTTTCAGTGTGCAGGATGAGTGCATGTGCGTGTGTGTGTGTGGGGGGGGGATGAGTGCATTTGTGTGCGAATGTGTGGGATTAGTGTGTGTGTGTGTGTGTGTGCAGGATGAGTTCATGTGTGCATGTGTGCAGTATGAGTGCATGTGTGCATGTGTAGGATTAGTGTGTGTGTGATTAGTGCATGTGTGCGTGCGCATGTGTGAGATGAGTGCATGTGTGTGTGCGTGTGCAGGATGAGTGCATGTGTGTATGTGCGTGTGCATGTGTAAGGCCTTTTGGAAGGTGGGTTCCCTGCCTGCAATCTGGCGTCTATGTTCCATTCCATTTTCCCTGGCTGCCAAGAAGGGTTGGCTCTGGGAGGTGGAGTCATGTTAGGCCTGAATCGTTAGTGCATAATTCACTGTAAGAAAACAATAGTCTGTGTAGAATGACAGACACTTAAAATGTTTGCTGATGTAACGCCTTAGTTGGTTGGATAGTCAGATGGATAGATAGATGGGTGGATAGATAGATGGATGGATGGATGAATAGATGGATGGATGGATAGATGGATGGATAGATGGATGGATGGATGGATAGATAGATAGATAGATAGATAGATAGATAGATACATAGATGAATAGATGGATGGATGAATAGATAGATGGATGGATAGATGGACGGATGGATAGATGGATAGATATATGGACGGATAGATGGATGGATAGATGGATGGATAGATAGATAGATGGATGGATGGATGGATGGATGGATAGATAGATAGATGGATGGATAGATAGATGTATAGATGGATGGATAGATGGATGGATGGATGGATAGATGGATAGATGGGTGGATGGATGGATGGGTGGATGGTTGTATAGATAGATGGATGGATGGATAGATAGATGTATAGATGGATGGATAGATGGATGGATGGATAGATGGATAGATAGATGGATGAATAGATAGATGGATGGATAGATGGATGGATAGATAGATGGATAGATGGATGGATGGATGGATAGATAGATAGATGGATGGACAGATAGATGTATAGATGGATGGATAGATGGATGGATAGATGGATGGATGGATAGATGGATAGATAGATGGATGGATAGATAGATGGATGGATAGATAGATGGATGGATAGATAGATGTATAGATGGATGGATAGATAGATGGATAGATGGATGGATGGATGGATGGATGGATGGATAGATAGATGGATGAATAGATAGATGTATAGATGGATGGATAGATGGATGGATAGATAGATGGATGGATGGATAGATGTATAGATGGATGGATAGATAGATGGATGGATAGATGGATAGATAGATGGATGGATAGATAGATGGATGGATGGATGGATCGATGGATGGATGGATGGATAGATGGATGGATAGATAGATGTATAGATGGATGGATAGATAGATGGATGAATAGATAGATGGATGGATGGATAGATGGATAGATAGATGGGTGGATAGATGGATGGATAGATAGATGTATAGATGGATGGATAGATGGATGGATAGATAGATGGATGGATGGATAGATGGATAGATAGATGGGTGGATAGATGGATGGATAGATAGATGGATGGTTAGATGGATGGATAGAGAGATGGATATATGGATGGATGGATTCATGGATGGATGGATGGATAGATGGATAGATGGATGGATGGATAGATGGATGGATGGATAGATGGATGGTTAGATGGATGGATAGAGAGATGGATATATGGATGGATGGATTCATGGATGGATGGATGGATAGATGGATAGATGGATGGATGGATGGATAGATGGATGGATGGATAGATGGATGGATATATAGATGGATAGATAGATAGATGGATGGATAGATAGATGAATAGATGGATGGATAGATAGATGGATAGATGGATGGATAGCTACATGGATAGCTACATGGATAGATACATGGATAGATAGATGAATGGATAGATGAGGATAGATAACTTTTACAAATGGGACAATTTAGGCAACAGACTGCAGGCCTGTCCTTGCTGTTCAGCAAACTTGACAAGGAGAGGCTGTTGTAAACTACATAATAGATAATGCAGTG